CCTTTCGATGTCAACGAATTTCTTTGATTTTAAATCGAATTTTAAATGTTTTTGAATAGTCTCCTTCGATTCAATAAAGCCAGTAATAAAATAAATATAATATTTTAGTAAATTTATAATATTTATTATATTTTATTGAATTTTTGCGTAATAAAAAATCAAATATTCAAATTTATAATATTTTTAATATACTCGCATAAAATAAAAAATTTATGATTTATAATATACGCATAATTTTTTAAATCTTTTATTTGTAATAATAAATATTAAAGGAAATAATCTTTATTTATAGTCAAAAGCAGAATTCAGAGAATTTCTGTGAGAATATAATTCAACTATTACATATTATTTAATATGCGAGTAGAATGCCCAAGTGGTGATTGTTGCTGACATTATCATTATCATCATCGAAAATGTTGATATCAGGATTCGAGTGGTGCCGTGGAAGAAATATCCATCTATATTCCTTATATCTATCACTAAGTATCCCAAACCTAAGTGACTCCACAGCGAAATATCAACCAGTCAGTGGAGCGAACCTAATCAAAAATGACAGGTGCTAACCCACATATTTGCCAATGAACGCTAAAGAAAACCACTGATCGCTTCGAATGGTGATTAAGTTTGGTTAATAAAAATATTTTTAACGAAACAATAAACAAAATCAAGTTAGACGTATATAAAATTATTTATATCATTAAGTTATCAGTAAAAAATTGCAAAAAATCACTGACAGAAAAAATCAAAATTAATTGATAAAATTGATCGTTAATTAACGTTGAGAGTTTAATTAGCTTTTTTTACTTCTTTCCATAATCGTCTATGGTTTGGAGGATTTATTCATAACATATATTTCGCATTTTGCATATAGCAGGTAGAGGAACATATAGAAATAGGCGTCACATAGGCTTTCAGTGTCGAGAGGTGCCTCTTTTAGGCTCCACTAGGTTCCACTAAATATTAGATAAAGCTGAGTATCATAAATAGATAAAAATTTGTTGGTTTTCAATTAGCATTCCATATATTTTTTGCTAATAAAAGTCATATATATAAGTCATAAAATATTATAAGTTTAATATTAAAATTTATTATTATTATAAATTTATAAATCTTTATATTGAAATTTTAATCAATCCTGATGGACTGGCGGTTTTCATTTTGTAACCAAATGACTTAATTTCTCATAAAAATTTCCTTTCTTACGGCTAGTCGAGCTAGCGTAACCAGAAATTGTGGGTGCTAATCACTGAAATAATCAAAAACGATTTGTTGACAATGAACTTAATCAATCTGAATTTCTGAATAAACCTTAAATGTTATGTTCACTTTCTGAACACTTCTATTTTCAGCACTAAATTCGAATTCTTTTTTCTGAAATGATAAGATTTTAAATAAAAATATTATAAATCATTTTTAAATTCTTATTATCTTTAACTTTTAACTTAGTTAACATCAAAATATTCCTGAAAATAATGGCCTATTTGATAAACAATCAGTAAAAATCATAATTAATTGTTTTCGAAGAAATTATAATAGCAGTGATAATAAATCTTGAAATTCATCGATGTTATTATATTATTATATAAACGAAATAATAAATAAATTTGAAAAACAATAAAAAATTTCAGGCCAATTATTTAAGTGGTTGGCGCTCACCATTTACGACTAAGCTCATTCCACTGGCTGTAATAAGAGTAATAAGAGAGATACTTTGGCAAGTGAAATAGAAGTAGATCTCCAGTCTCATTCGGATTTTATAGATAGGCTGCTTACTGCTGTCAGGAGTGAGGATCGTTTCTTGATACCTGGAGCGATAACAATCACTCAGCTATTTCGTACCTCCGCCTATTACTATGGATTTAAATTATAGACCGAAGAATTGCAATAAATTAAATAAAAAAATTTGTTATTTATTCGATTTCTTAAAATATTTGAATACTTTAACCAACCAATAAAAAATTGTTTTCATTGAAATAATAGAGGAGCAAAAAATTTGGCAACCTATGAACTCTGAGCCAGTGGTCCAGAATAAAAGCTGTAGCAAAGCTGCGGTTCAAAACATATAAATTCTACTCTTTCAAAGGATTCAACGCTACAAATAAAAGGCAATAAATGAGCAGCTAGTTGGTTGCTTTAATTCGGTTACTATAAACTATCAGTTGAAATGTTAAAGCCATCTTTACGGCTTTACAACTTTTTAATTGCTAATTTGACTCAGGCAACGCAATCAAAATGATTATAGGAATAAAACTTTAATTATTTGAAATTTAAAATCTTAGAAAGAGTTGAAATACAGTTGTTTAGTGGAATGATAAATCTCAAAGAATTTGGAAACCAGAAATGGTGTCAGAAATTGTTAGGAAAAGAGATCGAAGAGGCCTGGCAATGAAGTCAATTCAGATTTGGCACCAGAGGCTTTGAAAGGCTTTGCTAGCCCCTTATAGCCAACAGAGCCAGTCCAACCAGTAATAATTTGAGCTACTGGAAGAAGAAAATTTTGTTTCAAACGAAAATTTTCTTAAAAAGTTCAAATAATTCATTCAGAATCAGTTGAAAATTTGCTCTTCTTCAATATACATATCTTTTCCCCTCGTCAAGGCAAAGCTGCCATTAAGAGTGAAATAGGGGTTTCGGGTGACTACGGAGGTTTTGCACTCGCCAATAATTTTCTGGCAACTTATCATCATCCTTGGAATCAGCCAAACCAGAAAATGACACGTTCTCTTGAAGAAAATTGCTAAAAATATCGCATTTTAAATGTTTATATGAAAAGTAAAATGCAAAATTAAATAATTTCATAGCAAATAAGACTTCCGATTAAGCAGAAACTTGTGCCAGTTAATTAACGGTTAGCCATTCACCGTTTCTGGATGGGTTCGCCTAGTGACTATAAATATTAAAAAATATTTTCTCCAGGCAAAATGATTAAAAGTAATCATGAAATCATGGAATGATTATGAAAAACGGAAAAATCTCTAAATTCGGCAAAATAAAGAAGTGAAAAATGATCAATGAGCATCACAACGAAAAGTAAGTTAAACCAATATATGTTAAAATAATGTAAAAACAAAAACCAATGAAAGAATCGAACGAAATATTTAGAGAGAATGAAGCCTTGAAAGCAAAACTGATAATGATGATATGATCAATGAGAGGAAGAAAACTGGACGCCAAGCAGTTTAACGTATTTTAAATCGCTCAAAATCTTTTTACAACACTATTGGTGGGATTTGTTCGAGAAGACCTTAGCAGCGTTCATTGTTGCTCGTTTTCTTCTTCACTAACTTTCCATAACCAAATTTACTCATTTTCAACGATAATTTCCCGCAATTGAAAAGAAAAATTTGAGTTGATTTTTTTAAAAATATTTATAAATGAAATAAATATAAATATTTCAATTTAATTTAATTTAATTCAATTTGAAAATGTGTAATAATTCAATTTAATTTGAAAATGTATAATTTTTAAAAATTTCTGTTCGATTCTTTTCTAATTTACTGAATTTCCAAGAATAATCAGCTGGAATGATAAAAATGATAAAAATAACGACACTCTTTCGGAACTATCAGTTACGCACCACGAATTTCAATTAGTTCTTAAACTTCTTCTCCTATTAGTTCGTATAATTGCTTACTTGATTTGGCTCACTTCAATCGCCATTTCGTTTGCCGATCCGATACCCATTCCTGAAAAATAACTGAAGCCTTAATAGGCATAAACCTATGGCTTATTTACCTAATTAACTCTCTGCGTTAGGAAAAAAATCTTGGTTATCCCTTATGCCAAAATTTCAACAAATTTTAGCCATATCTTCGCATAGGTGTCGTTAAATAGAAAAATTTTATTAGTATATTTTTTCCCACGAATTTTAAAACTTTTTAATATTTTACACTGTTATATTGAACAAAGCTATGTTGAAAGGATCGCGTGCTTTTGAATCGATAACAAAAAACCGCTTCTCTTCAGTTAATTAAAAATAATGGCGCATTAATTGGCAAAAAGTCAACGAATTTTTAATAATGATGAACCAGTAATTTAGTATGGCATTATATATCAATGAAAAAGCCCTGAAGGCCTATTGCCTATTTATTGCACTTAAAGTGAAATTGACAGACTTCAATTAAAATTCATATATTTCATCTAAAAAGCCTAAGCATATTCAATATTTACTTGGCTTTATATTGCTTAATTGAAGGATAAACAGAAGAACGCAGCTAAGACAAGCCGAATGGATTCAATTCAGTTCTCCTAGAAAAATTGTAAATTTCATTAAAATGTGGAAATAAACCTTTATTTTAAGAAAATTAAAAAAATTTTATTCAGTGCAAGAATACATCTAAGTCATATTCAAAGCAATAAACTTTATATTAAAAAAGCGTTATATAAAAATTATAAAGCGTCAAAAAACGTTGGAATCTTTAGAGCAATTTTATAAGATAACTACATTTTTGTTTGAACCGGCCTTGGCTGAAATAAGCAACTACATTTTTGTGGACTGAGGAGATCACTGGTTTCTTCGCTGAATTTACAATAGCCTAGTTTCGGCGCTAAACTATTCTAAGTTAAACTATCGTTTTTAAACTTATGATAATATATAAAACTAACTTTGATGAGTAAGGAAAAAAATCGGAAGCAAAAGATGACTGATGATTGATTGATTTTAACCGACTGTGAAATCAAATGAATTAGAATCATATCAGCAGTGATAACAGCTTATTTGAAAAACTGAAGACTATCAAGGTTAGATTATTAAATTGTCTATGTTTTCCATAAAAGCCAAAAAAATTTTAAATTTCTGATTGAAGATCATAAGAAGGCCAGTTCAAGAAGATTTCCAAATACAAAGTAATATTTTCATTTAAGAAGAATGAAATGAAATTATTAAAAAAAAGAAAAGATTGAAAACAAAAAGAAAAACTAAATAAGCAAAGAAAAACATATTTTAAAATATTTTTGAAAAATAAAAATTATGAAAAAACAAAATAAATAACTGAATCCGCTTAAAAAACAATCTGCCGTAATGAAATAGCTGTGCAAAACGGTGTAACTATTTCACGGGTACTAAAATAAAAAATAAGTCCAGCAAATATGGAGACTGGTAAGGCTGGTAGCGCTTTACGAAATACAGCGAGAAGAACAAGTGTAAAACATAAACCCTGAAAAAAATACAAGATAATAAAATTTTAGGGTTAAATCAACAATAAAAATATAGATACTGAAAAGAACGTACTATTAAAATAGCAACGTAACATGCAATTGTAGTATTCCAATCACCATAACTACTTGCTTTACCCACCAAAACACTGTAGAAAATGAAGTCCCCTAAACCAAGTTTTATACCCCCTGAAAATATATGTAATAAATTAATAACAAAAACTGGTCATAGCCAAAATATGAAAAAAAAGGACAATATTAATCAAAGCAGCTCAATGAATATTTAAAATATATTAAAATATACACATCTAAAAAAACGCATCATTTTCAACAAAGTTAAAGGGTAAATAAATTTATTTATTTTTTTATTTATTTAAATAAATAAGGATAAAGACATATATAACAGGCATATGCTTAGACAATAGCCTATAATAACATAATAACATAAACAGTACGGAGCGGGTTCTTCATTTACATGATAACCGTTAGATTTACCATGCACTCGTGGGCCAGAGAATCCATTGTTACATCATTATAATGATTTAGTGGCTTCAAGAAATTAAACTGCTACTAGATAACTATAAGATTCTATACATTTAGTATAAAAGGTATAACCTTCGATTTTACACTAACCTACACAATAGGGTAACAGTCAAGCACTTACGAATGCAACTAAAAATTTCAGCTTAAATGCATTTCGAAACAACGAACTGAAAATATTTGAACCTTAAATCAACTGGAAATTTTCTATTCACACTAAAGATTATTGGAATTGACTACTTAAAGATACGGTTCAAGCATACTCTAAATTTAATTCAAGGAAGAAAACGACAAAATTAAAAAACTGAAATTAAATTTTTTATTTGAACGATTTTCAATATTTAAATTCTTTCTGAATTCTGAATGCTTGGAATAAATCTGTTATTAACCAAGATTAAAGGAACTGTGAATATTTATCAGTCTTTTAAAATTTCTTACTGAAGAAATACTTAAATTCATCGGTGGTTTATCCCAATTACAAATAGTGCGATCCAAGAAAATATGAATTCTACCTCATTTTCTGTCTTTAACAGTTTTAATCTAAGATATAGAATTTTTTTTATAATGATTGTCAACAAACGCTAAGCATAAAAAAAAATCCGTACTTTCATTTTGATTTTGAACATTATAAAGCCGTTTAGCTTCCATACGACAAAATTCTTTGTTAGGCAGGTTTGAGTTCTTATTATTTGTTGATTCTACAGAAGGATCATTGTTGATCATAGCACTAAATGGAGTTAAATGAGGAAAAAATGAATTAAGTTTGATTCAAATTAATCGGATTGTTTATTTTTGGAAAAAAAGAATTTTTTATGGAAGGCTTTATAATTCTACTACTGATAAAAGCACACTTGCGGACCGCATGAAAATACCAAAATGATCCTCTGGCAAAAAATTCTTAACCGAAATAAAATAAAAACTAACGGAGTATGCAGCAAAATCAGATAAGAAAAAGGATTTAAAAAACGATCTACTGAAGAAATAAACACGAATAACCTTGTAGAAGGGATCAAGTCATTTGAAATCTGATCCACAGAAACGGCACTATGCTCTAAAAAAACAATTTAAAAAATCCAATACTTCAAAAATTTTTGTAAATTTCATGCATAGGACATTTTGTATATCATAATTTATAAATTTATTTATGATGTGATGCTATTAAATTTTTCATTTATAAAGAAAGAAAAATTTAAGAAAGAAAGAAATAGGAATGTAGAAAAATTTGGTAAAAAATCTTACCTTTCCGCGATGCACCACGTAATGGAGCGAATCTATGAATTACTTTCTTATGATCAGACTTCTCCTTTGATGATGGCAAGAGATGAGCTGTTGACGGAGGAGAACCTTCCGACGAACCAGAAACTGATGATTTTCCAGTACTGAGATTTGTTGTTGATAAAATACTGCTAGATGCAACTGCCTCAGATTGACTAGCAACTAAATATAATTATGATAAAAATTTCACTATGAAATGAAATCAAAATTATAAGACCATGACAAATTTAAAATAATTCCTATTGCAAGAACAGTTTTAGAAGGACTTTGGTTGATTATGATGACAATTATTAACATGTAGAAAAATAAAACGATCATTATTGAAATATATGAATAAATCAAACGAAAAGAAAAAAACCTTGGCCAGAAATATCTAATGGTTCTATACCGCTCGATGATGCACCTTCCACATTTGAATTATCATTGCCAATCGATGTATATGCATAGAGCAAACCAGCTAAAATATATGTCCATTTTCAATAAAAAAATTTTGAAAATTATTTTCGGTTAACTCAACTAACTACCAAAACTTTTTCGCCAACTAATCAAAATATACAGGTGTGCCTCCCGTAACCACATTTCATTTTTGCTGACAAATTTGCCTAAGCTGATATGCTTATGTAACTGCCTACATTACATCCAATATAAACCACAGTGAATTTTTTTAAAAATGGTTATAATCCTTTAAAGGACGAATTATAAGAAAATAATCTGTTAAAAATATTATATTAAACCATTGAATTTACTGAAAATTAATCCCAATCCCAATATGTTTGCAATATGAAGCAGATATTTAGCTAATAAAATTTATTCCTGCTAAGAAAGTATATTAATTCCTTCCCAAATTTAGGTAGTGTACGGTGTACGGTGCTTTGACATATTTTTCTTTTTCTAAAGAGTCTTTGGTTTTAATGTAAGATTTTTTATTTATTCAAGATTAAATTTATTCAATTTATTTATTACTTTAATTTAATTAGAAAGCTTAAAATCTATCTAGTGCTAGCAATCCAAATGAAAAGTTTTTTTTTTATTTTATAAAATTAATTTCTAATTTTATTTCATTAAAAATTTTTTGCGAAAAGTAAAATCAGTAAAACTCACATGAGTAAATAAGAGCAGGGAAAATGGGTTCATTACGTTCTTGGGCAGTTTCCACCAAAATCCTCAGTGGTCCTTTAGGACATAAAACGGCTACCAAATCCCACAAAGAAATCACGGCTAAAACTGTCCAAACAGTCCACTCAGGTAAATATTTAATAAATGTAAGCGCCATAAGAGCAGACATCATTATCAAATATCCCTAAAGAAATTAGAAAGAATTTTTGGAAAAAAATAAATTTATTTTTTTCCAAATAATAAAAATAAAATACCTGCTGCAAACGAAGAGGTCCTTTCCAGTGAATACATATCATTCCCATCACACCATAATTCCATACAATAAAAAAAATCGTAATATAATCAACTGATATGTTCCAACTTTTGAATAATTCCCTATAAACAAGATTAAAGAAAAATAATCAAATGGAACTTTGGACAATCTACTTTTTTTTATAAAATTAAAAGTAAAAATTCTGCACAATAAGTTAAGGACTATGAATGCAATCGGAAAAAAAATCGCCATCAGTTTCAAAAAATATGCAAATATGATTGGAAAATGGGCCAAATTTTGAAAAATATATAAAATTTATTCAAAAATTTAAAACTTACTGAAGATACATTGATGTAAACAGTGATAATAATATCAAACTGCTCAGAGTTAACCAGCCTTGAATCACCTAAATTTCTTACATTTTTAATTGTTTCTATTAACATTTATAATTTTCCATGTTACAAATTTTTTCGAATTTTCTAATATAATACAGCATTTTTGATCTGGCTAGTTCCACTGGTATTAGGATAAAGTGCATTAACCATAATAAATGAAGCAATATGTAAGTTAATTGTGTCGAATCGAATGCATTAATACACAATCCACCATAAAATACCAAAAAAAAAATTTTTTTTAATGCCAGAAGAAACAATAAACAATAAAATAAATGAAGTATCCAAGGATTACAATTCTGAATTTATGTTACCCTGTGGAAATTTTATCAATAATATTATTGTAAAAAAGTTTTGAACGTGAAACGATGATGAAGAATGATAAATCCTAACTGCTGTTCCGATAAGTATCTTACAGTTAGTTGATCCAATTAAATTCAACCACTGATAGTTCTGATAGTTCCATCAATATAACCTTATCATAGTTGTATAAATAAACCCTCCTTATAACTTTTAAAATAAACAAATAATAAATAAAACTTAAAAAATTACCTTATACCATCTGAATTTATATAATAAAATCAGAACAATAGTCATAATCACAACCACACCAAGGACAACAAAAGCATTTCCGAAAGACATAATTAATCGCTCCCCAGCACTATCAGTTTCTTTGGTGAATGGAGTATAAATCCTACAAAAAGTAAAATCTAAAAAACAATTAAATTTTACAAATAAAATCAACAAAATTGTGGATTTAAATTAGCCAGTTTTTTATGCACGTTAGCCATAAATTAGCTTACCTAAAGCTCCCATTAGATATTCATTTTCGACAAAGGCAAAAATATTTCAATTTCAGTTTTAAGGCCTACACTTGCCGAAGGACAACAATTCACACTACTCATTAGACGAAGTAAGATTTGTAGTACTTTATTATCGCTATTTTAAGGATTAAGGATTAGTTATGCCAGCAAACAAAATTACTGCACATTCAACGGTTTTTTCCTGAAAAATTAAAAGAAAAATATAAATATTGTCATACAAATATTGTCCATCTTTGCGACTGTAATATCCAACAGTATTCATTGTTAGAATTACAAAAGCCATACAAATTGAGACTGGAACAAATAAATGAATTACATGTTGTGCACCATATTTTAATTCTTTCTCATCGTTTTCATCATCAGATTCTGAAAAATGAGAAAATATTCGAAATGCATCGACTAGTCGCATTAAATCGATTTATCAAAGCTTTAAAAATGCCACAATAGTTCAGGTCATAGTTCACGATCTCATTATTTAAGTATTAACTAAATATGTTAATTTATGGAACAGTTCGTTAGGTTGTTAAAATTATAAGATTAGTAATAGTTTACTATGTGAACCATTTTTTCTTAACCATTTAACTGGTTCGAATCTGATTTAATTGTGATTTGAATTAGTCTTATACTAAATCTAGATCGTTACCAGTCGTATTTCCCCTTTTTCTTCGTTTCCTTTATAATTTTTGTTTTCATCGTTCTCATTCAATAAGGAAGGACCAGTATTACTGCTAAAATTAGTGGACATTAATATAAGTTCCATAAAATATTAAGAAACCTTGATAAACTTGATGATGACCAGCACAACACTGTTGCCGATTATAATTCGCATTACTCGAAGAGTCATCAATCGTATTTGACATTATAACTATTCAATAATAAATAACTATTAAAAAACTATTAAATATCACCTATAAATTTCATTTTTAAAATAATTTAATAATTTTTGTGAGATGAACAATTTAACGAATTTTTTCATAATTAAATGAGTTTTAAATGGAAATTCAAATACAGAAAAAAAATCAAAAATAAATAAAAAATTATATTAATATTCGTAGAAAAATTAGAAAAAATTAGAATATTAGAACATTTTTTAAAAAAATATTTAAAATTATTTAAGAAAATTTTGCATTTCGAAGAAAATTTTATATCAAAAAATTTTTAAAAACCACTATTAAAATTGAAAAAACAATTTAAATATTCAAAAAAATATTTAAATTAATTAAAAACTGAACTGAAAAATTCTCCAAAATTCTCAAACATCTTCGGATAAAACACAAAATTACGCATTAAATCCTTCTTCTAGCGTTACGCTTCATTTACAATTCCTTTTAAAGACAACGGTACACATTCCCCACTGGCAATTCGGTGATTTCAAAATTTATTTCAAATAGCTAAAAGTGCCCACTAGGACAAACTTAATTCGCCATACTCAGGTTTAATCAATTAAAAACCTACATTTCCAACAAATTTCTGCAAAATTAATTAAATGCTCATTTTATTTACGACTATAAGCTGCCTTCCCCTTCCTCTATTGATTTTAATTCGCGATAAAACCAAATTTCAGGCGTTTTCTAATTTCCATATATCACACTTATCTTTACTTGGTTATGGAACGATTTTCGCTCACTAAATTCGCTGAACCTTCTCTCATTCGCACTATTTTCAGCAAATTAACGAATAATCGAGCCAAGCCAATCAATTAAGAATTATACTCTAAAAGCCTTTCACTTCATTATTTCAGGAATATGCAAGAGAAATATTCTGAAAACTCAATCATAATGAATTAAAAACTGTCTTCTACTAACATTCAAAATTTATATTTATATAAAGGAACACACCACTGTAAATTAAAAATTATTTCATTCATATAATAACAATAAATGAAAATAATAGTTAATAATAGTTAGCTGAATAATAACACAATAAGCGAATAACAGCTTCTACGCTAAAGAATTTTACAACTTTACAACTTAAAAAACAATATATCGAAAATTTAAAACTACTGAATGTGACAATTTAGTGATAAAATCACAAAATAAAAACAGGAAAGATCTTGGGATTGTAACAAATTTTAACAACAATTTCTTCAGAAATGAAGTAAGAGATAAAATCCAAAATCCATCCAAGATCCATATACAAAATCCAAGACTCGCTTCATCTTCCTTTTTTTTTAGCTTTTTCACTAGGATCTATTAAACCATTAAGAATTTTCCATTCTCTTATAATTTTCTCTTGACCTTCTGCAGTAGTCGGTGAATACCTTAAAATAATGTAAGCGTCAAAACAATGAATAAAATATGTTATAAAATTTAAAAAAATATTAATTCATAACCTTGCATATTCCATAACAAATTCACCCTTGCCTTGAGTAATAGAACGGAGCTCAGTCATATATCCAAACATATCGCTCAATGGTACCTAAAAAATCAAAAAATCAAAAAAAAAAAATCGTATATTTTAGTAATCAATTAACACAATCTAATAAATGTTTTCTTCAAAATAAACTAACAAATTATAAACAAATTATAAAAAAGAATCCGAAATTAGTTTATTCTAAAGAACATCTTACCTCGCAAATTATACTATTATAATTATCAAACAATTCCGTAGTTGTGATAATACCATTCCTCATAACCAAACTACTCGTAACAACATTCTATAATAAAATTAGTTTATTCTAAAGAACTGATAAGAAAAAAGAGTTTAAAAAGAGTTTATCTATAAAATTCATATTGTTCATATGAATTGGGTAAGAAAATTTGCTCAAACCATGAATTTATTGCAGAATTTGAAAAACACAGAAATAATTTTAAAACATAAATAAGTTCACTGATGGAACTTCAGCCATGACTTTTAATTACCTATAATTTTTCTTTCGACTCGTTTTTACTGGATAACTGGAGCCAAAAATAATAACATAACCAAAAAGATTAAATGATAAATTTACATGATATTGAGAAGGGATTGTAACTTCAACTTTCATTATAGGTTCATTTAATCTCCATTCGGCTCTTTCGTAAGCTGAAACTTTTTCAAAATAAAAATTTCTTTTGAAAATTCCCTTGTATCATTTCAAACTAGAGTTCTATAACCAGTGACGCAATTTTCTTTCCTTCTTTCTTCCACCTTTGAAATCAATCAAAAATTGAAGTAAAATAATGTGAACCGCTTATTCAAATGGATAAACGATTTTGATCGAACCGCTTCAATCTTTCATAGCTATATTAATTTGGAGTATGGAGTATGGAGTAAGAATAATAATTAATAAATTAATAAATATTAAAAATTAATAAGTGGTGACGATTTTTGAAAATATTCAATACTTGAGTCACCATTTTTATAAAGTATATTCAGTTATATAAACGAAACGAAATTGTGCGAAGAAAGAATATTATAATCCATTTCGATGAATTATGTGGAGAAAAAATTTTTCATGCAAAATTTCCTATTGAAATCACTCTTTCGAAAAAATGAGAAAATCTTGGTTCCATTTGATATGGCATTTTGCTTGCAAAGATATTTTTTCATAAGATGAACAGACGATTAGAATAATGAAACCATTTTTTCTGGTCCTGGATATATGAACAATATGAATTTTATAGATAAAATAAGATCGACACATTCAAACATAATTTGAAAAAGTTGGAAAACTATAATGGCTTCAGAAAAACCATTTCAGATCCTCGTGAAATTTTTTTTGAACATTTCATTCATACATTTGAAGAATCAAGCAAGGCTCAAACCATGAGTTTAAAATTTAATATCTTATTTGAATTTAAGGAATTAATGCGATAAAATGTTGCCGGTTTGAAAAATATGCAAGTAACATAGACATTATTACAAATCGATAATACCATCAATTGCGTTGTCTACATAATAAGGAATTAAAGAGAAACATTAAAGCATTCTTTCTAGAGTTTTTCTAGATTTTACAGCGAAAAGGCTTGAAAATTACTATTGCTCTAATTTTACAAATTTTAGAAACTACCAACCTTCTCTCATCATGTTCATCATCGTATTTATCATAGCGATTTCGGTTGAATCCACCAAGTGAGTTTCTCCATCCAAAATACGAACTTTTATTCCAGTGACTGGTGCTTTAATTAATGGCCCTTCAGCCACTATTTTATCCAAACCCTGTTGAAAGTACATAAAAAGTTCAGAGATATTTGCAATAATTATTACATGGATCTTCAATGAATTCTTACCTTTTTCAAGGCGGGGAAAAGATTCTTTGGGATGCATCCTCCGACCGTTTCATCTACAAATTCAATAATAGTATTTTTTTCAGGTGGCAGTGGTTCAATAATACCATCAATAACACCGAATTGCCCTTGACCTCCGGTTTGCTTTTTATGACGGTAATAAAAGCTAAAAACGAACGACTGCATAATAACTATGGAATTTTACCTCAAACTTACCAATATATTTAAATGAAAAAAATAAAACATATTTAAGAAATTTATCAAATTCTATTTGCTATTTGCTTACTTATAGGGTTTTGATAAACATTCTCGATAAGCCACTTTTGGTTTTCCTAATTGAACAGGACAATTAAATTCATTTTTCATCCTTTGCGCATAAATTTCCTGGAAACAAGATTGAAATGCCTCAAATTGAATATTTAAACAAAATCCATCAAAAATTAACCAAAATTTTCATTCCCATCGGATAAATTCCACTCATATTAATATATAACATTTCAATATTTTTTATAAATTTCAAAATTTTTATAATAATAACAATGTTCATCAACTGCTCGACAGTATTGAAAATATTGAAAATATTCTTTTTTCATTCCTATCTTCACATAACAATTTCAAATTAATAAAATACCAAATGTAATTCGCCCATGCCTGAAACCACAGTCTCTCTAGCCTCTGGAATATATGATTTAATAAAAGTAGGATCTTCCTTGGTGAATCGATTTAGCGCTTTCATGAAATTGTCCGCATCTTTTCTATCTACAGGTGCCATCGACATAGAAATAACCGGTTTTGGAATGTGCATTGATTCCTATAATAATTTTCTAAATGATAACTTGTATGAATAAGAAAATAAATTTGAAAGAGACACTAATAAACGCGCGTTGATAAAATACCTATTTTAACCAATTCATTGCTGGTTGAGGAATTGTCCGACTTTAGACATCTTGGATCCACTCTAATCCCAAATGGCCATGCAAAGGATGAAATTGTAACTCGGATAACGATAGCCAGAAATACTTCTTTCCAGTTGACGAAATCTTTATGGAACAGTCACCACAAAGACGAAAATCAGCATCCATATAGTAATTCGCTCGGTCTTGCTGTATGGCTGCGAAATATATCCACTGAGAGAGGAATATATAAAGCAGCTATCAGCCTTTGACCACTCATATCTAATACGGATCATATATGGACTCATATACGGATCCATTGAGGGAATAAAATCGCACATTATATTCATCTTCGTTCAAATACCACCTGTTATCACAGAGCGTCGCCTTAGCTGGTTAGGGCACGTTCGCCGCCGTCACCAAAGGAGTTGATGCATATTTCGTTACTTGCTAAACCTTGTGATGGTTGGTATCAAAAACAGCCAGTTAAGACCTGGACTGATAAGTCAAGACAGATTTTAAACGTATAGAGGAATTAGTGATATATGGACTTAGATAATTGAAAAAAGAGTGGTCTCCACTATTAATGATGGCATCGGATCGAGCACCTTGTAGACGATTTACAGTCAGCGAAGCAAGTCTAACCAGTAATGGTGAAAAAATTATTAAAAGAAGAACTATTAGAAGAAGATAAACGTACACAAAACACTTTAAATGTTGGTTTATTTGTGAAAGTCTCGCCAGAAAAGCAATCGACTCCAAAAATAGCACATATGTCACCTGCATAAGTAACGTCAATGTCCTAAATAAATATTAATATCTAATTCGAACAAATAAAATAAAAATAAGAGATTCTGTATCTATGTGGCCTGAAATTATAAGATTCAGTACAGGGCAAACTTTTCAGTCATTAAAAGATTAACATCTAGTAATGGCCATATTTTTCAATGACTTAAAGCTTCTACCGTTTTTTCTCTTAGATATTAAATATTTTTTTAATATCACTACTTGTGGAATTTTTTAATAAAAGTAATATCCGGAAAAAGACAAAACCATTAGTCAATACCATTGCTTATAATTAAATTTGTGATGAAATTTAATCCAAATTTACCAATTATAATACTGAAATTATGAAAGGTAAAATACCTCCATAGAATTGGCGTGCATTCGAACTATACGTTGTGCTTTGACACGCCGGCCATCTCGAGTAGCTAACAAAGTATCGCCTTTATTCAACTGACCTTGATAAACACGAAAATATGTTAACTGGCCGTGTTTTCCTGCCTTAAATATCTCATTTTGATGAAAAAATATGTGTAAAATATTTTTGGCTTCTCTCCAACATGCCAGTGAATCAAAATGTCCAATATTTGCTTCCAATAAAAACTGCGAATATACATTTAAACGACATCAAAATGCCACAATAAAGATTCTTAGAAATTTAAAAATGAAATTTTTAGAGGAAATCCGAAGGCAAAAAACCTCCAACTTGAAAGCCAATCCAACAAATGGTTCTTCATTACTGCGAGTTGGGTTCAATATAATAGTTTCCTCAGTATCTGTTCTGAAAAACCAAGAAGCACTATGAAATAAATAAAATAAATACAATTGTGGAAAAAAATAGAAATTGTCATTTCAAAATAAAAAAATGTAATCACTACAATAAATTATAAAATTATTACAAAGTACAAAATTTTTCAGAAAAAAAAACCATCCAAATATCAAATATCAAAAATGTGCATTGTCATTTTAGTCATATCCATTTTCAGCTAAACTTGTTGAATATTTCAAACATTTCTTTTTTTGGATATTTGCTGGACAATTTTTTTTCTAAAAAAATAAAATAAAAAAATAAACTTACTCTTCATTTAAAATACTGGCACGATTTTTCACTTCTGCAGGATTTGGTAAATATTTTACTACTGCGTCCAATACGGTCTGTACACCTTTATTTTTAAGTGCTGAACCTAACAGAATAGGAATGAATTTTCTATTTATAACAGCTCTCCGAATACTTGAGTGAATTTCGTCGTTAGATGGCACTGTTTCATTTATAAAATATTCTGCTATTTGATCATCACCATTTGCAAGATTTTCTAAAAATGTTAAAATAAGTTAATTTATTGTAAAATAATGAGTAATAATCATTCATGGTCATAATGAACCGATTAGTTCCTGGCGATAATCTTTTGCTTGTTGCCTCATGTCTCTTGGAATTTCATCCTTACGTATAATTGAACCATCATCCTCTTCATAATAAATAGCATTTTCCTCGATTAAGTCGACGATACCCTAAAAGAAACAAAATAGAATTAGTAAAATAAAGCCTATTTATTAATTTAATTCTAAGTAAAATTTATTAATTTATTAACAATTAATGAAACCATTCTAATGAGCTACAATACTGATAAGAAAAGTAAAAAATAAAAATAAAATAAAAAATGAACCTTGAAATTCCCTTCGAGTCCAATTGGCAGATGAAGAAGAGCTGAATTATGTCTAAGCTTTTTGCGCATTCCTTCTAATGCCCTGCACAAAACATCAATTAAAGAACATTTATAAAATTTGAAAAATATAGAAAAATATAGCTAAAAATTAGAATTCAATTAAACATTCGATGATTATAAGCAATATTGAAGTCATGAACAATTAGGCCTTCAATACAGTATGAATGGAAGGATGAAGAGAAGAAGAGATTTTTTTTTTAATATTATCTATGGCCTGGCTGAACCATGGTTTACCTGTTGATTCATAATATTTATTGGGAACAAAAGATAAGTAGGGGAGTACATCCAGACATCCAGATTTGCATTTAATGCAAGGATAAGCATTGTCAGTGATTGAATGCTTTCCATTCATTTTCGATAAAATTTAAACAATGAAAATCGAATATAAGTCAGCTATTGAATACCTTATTTCAGGTAAATTTTAATTAAGAAAAATACCGAAAAGGTGTGGCACCAGTTCTATCCAATTTATTTACAAATGCGATAAATGGAATATTATATCGGGTCAATTGACGATTAACAGTAAAAGTCTGACTTTGAACACCACCAACTCCACAAAGTACTAAGATTGCACCATCAAGAACTCGAAGCGCCCGTTCAACTTCAACCGTGAAATCCACATGACCCAAAATTTTTTTATTTTTATTTAATGCTTCTGTAAGTGATATGCATTCGTACTGAGAATTTCATCCTTTACATTTGTTGATACCAAACTTTAAACACTGTAGAAAAATTATTTTAAAATTCTATGACTTATATTGAAATGATTTATATACATTGAAATTTCACTACTTCTAAAATGAAAAAAGTACAGAATCTACAAAAAAGTATAAAAGTACAAAAGAAAACGAAAAAAATCAAAGCGAAAATTTTAGGAATAAGAATTTTATCTTTATATTCATTTTTTGCTCAATATGAAAAATTTTTTACCAGGTGTATCTATAATGTTGATATTTGTGCCATGCCAATCCACATAAGTAGCAGCGGATTGAATAGTAATACCTCGCTCTCGCTCCAAATCCATGAAATCCATAAAAGCACCAACTGCGTCTTTTCCTTTAACCTTAAAGATATTGCATCAATGTGACCAATGATTTTCATACAAAAAATATTTTTAAAGAAACCAATTTCTGAATTACAGAATTCAGTTCATTTTTATGTTGGAAAAAATACCTCGTGCATTTGCTGTATTCTTCCTGCATAATAAAGTATTCTTTCTGTAACTGTTGTTTTTCCAGAATCTATATGCGCAGATATTCCTGAAAAATTTAAATACAAAAAAATAACCAGAATTATAAAAGAAATTCTGGCAAACATCAAGTGAAAGATGGTAATTACATGGGTTCTAGAAATATAAAATTTCCATTGATCCTAGGAAAAAATTCCTTTAAAAAATTTGTTTTTGAAAAAATAAATTTAAATTGAAAAATAAAAATGAAAAATTGAAAAATAAAAACTTAAAGCGTTCATAAAACATTAATCAGGAAAAAAAGAAATAAGATGTTTTAGTCACCAATATTTCGTATTCGCTCAACAGGTTTAATGAAACTTCGACCAATCTGGACTGAAACAAGGCGCTTTAAGTTTTCTGAAACCTTAAAAAAAATTTTTTTTTATAATGCATGTTTATTTATGATTAAAAATATAAGAATAAATTTATAAATTAAATAAAGGTATTATTTAATATTTTTAAGGTATTTATTATATAATAAGTAAGCTCTGTGGTGGTCTATGCTGGCGTTAGCAACAATATATAAAATTTAAATAAAAATAAATAGAAATCAAGAAAATAAAAATAAAGGTAACAATGGACTGAGGAACAAATGGAACAAGAACAACATTTTAACGGAGTTTTTCAATTGTTAGTAATTCTTATACAAAAATTTCAGGAAAATGTACTGCTTCTAAAAAATTTGTTATCTCCAGTAGTAATGAAATTACGGCAAAATAGAATTCTTAAAATTCTTTTACGATTATATTTACATTTAGATAATTCTTCTTACAATGTTCCAGTTCGGTTAAAATACGAATAAAAAATATTGATCAACGTAAGGAGAATCAAAAGAGGGAATGGAATGGCTCAATGAGTTGTTGCTCTAATTTCAAAGTGCTATAGAATTTTTATTTCGCCTTTCAAAAATCCAGATGGTAACTGTGAAAAAAATTTTAGAAGCACAAACCTTTAAAAATGATCGAAGCAAATGATTTGAATTTTTTGATAATATGGCCATGGTGGATCTGAAATAACTTCGCTTCGGCCTTTCTGCCGAAAATACTTGGGGAAAAAATAATTGTTAGAAGGTAATTGTTAAAAGGTGAAAATTAAAAAAATGATTCATGCGCAAAGAGTTGCAAGTTGACAAGTTGACAAATAAACTTTATTTGCAAAAAATAATTTCACTTAAATTTTAAATTGCTTTACTTTTATTTTGAAAACATTTGCTTTTAATTAAATAAAATTTTTTTTGAAAATAAAAATAAAATAGAAATTATGAGACTTTGAATTTTTATAAATTTCAAGTGCAAAAACAAGGTTTATATGCGTAATAACTGGGAGAAGTGCAAATGCCACAATTATGTAACCAATGTAACCAGTCCTACTGAACTATAGAAAAAACAAGAAGCATGGAAATGAAGAATTCATTTAAGAATTCATTTACCTTAACAACTTAATTTAATAATTCAGTCCAGTATAACTTAAAATAATAATTTAATAATAAAATTTCAATGAATGATTAAATAAACTAAAAATAAATTTCTGTTTTAAAAAATTAACTGGTTAAATACTTTTTATAAACAAAAAAGAATAAATACAAAGAAATTTTGCAAATAAATCAATTAAAAATTATATTTTAAATATTTTTTAAATTGTTTTTCTAAGAGATTTATTTTCCCACCATTCCTGGCTTTGCTCCCCTGGCTAGCAAGCAAATTTTTGCCAGAGAGCCAGTTGGAAGCGATAGAAATACAGTCAGCCAGTATGATCCGAATTTTTGAAAGATAATTTGGCCGCGAATAAGACTTCGGCATTGGTGCTCCAAAATGAGAGCATTGATTTGGCCATCCAAATTTGACCGAAGCCCCTCTCCCTGCTTTCGCAAAAAATCCTCAAAATCCAATTCAAACCATAAAACTTATCAAATTAACAAAAAATTTTAAAAAATAAATTGGCTGTTTGCCAATTAAACACTTGAGCATCAAAGTGGAGAAAACATGAACATCTTTGGATTACGGTATGTGAGATGTTAGTCGAATTGAGAGACATTTGTTGATAATCGGTTTTTGGCGGGAAAATCGTCGGTTTTGTAGAATGTATGAAGCATAACGGCTTTTGAGGAGAGGCAGAGATGGAATCAGGTGGTGCTGTGGGAGAGTCGTTTATGGGTTAAGGGTAACAACGTTTTGGTGACTGTCACGCGCATTTTACGTGATCGAGCCTGCACGATTTCCGCGATCGTCCGCGAATTTTGTCCGAAATCGAGCCGATCTAGGAAACAATCCCTCTCTTTAACGCGTGTTACTTTACTGCAAAGTGGTGAACAGGCAGCGTCTTGATTTGTCCGTTGTATTGATCTGTGATTTTAGATATGCGTTGGTCATATGTCTTACTCGTAGGCTGAGTTATGTCATATTTTATGAATCGGTTTTTTTCTCATTTCAGAATTTTGCATTCTTTTTGCATTCGCGCTCGTAAAAAGTAAGTGATAGAATGAATCTGTGTGAAGGTCGAGAACGTTTAACAGTGCTCACCGCGGTCGGCTAATTGGTTCTCGCTTCTTGGTAGGTCATCCGGTTCATTTTGTATTTTTTATGGCTTTTTTCTAAAAGTTGTCACCATTTCCGGTTAATTTGTTCTGCTGGTTTTTCTGGACACACAAATCTTACTAGGTTGTCACTTGGTGTTAAAAGTACATACGAATCGTTAACATCGCCAGGATTTTTGAAAAACAGGTTTACTCTTGGCAGAAGTCGATGCGAATTTCTTATGAAATTAAATTTATATTTTTTTAATAAGCATTTTTATTTGTAACAGAGAAGACCATTATCATTATTTCTTATTGTTTAGATAATTGTTTAAGCAAATTTCATTTAAATAATATCAATAAAATAAATAATAATAATTAAAATGAGTTTGAGCTGACGGTGGTAGTGATTATTAAATATTAACAATAAAGGTAATTATGATAAAAACAAGAACATGAGAGTAAAAGTAGCAACAGTAGCATTACAAGGAACGATAATGGTGTTAATAATAGCAACAATAATAGTGTAATGGATGGAATCCATGGATTATCATCGTTGTTATTATTTATTATGATTTACTGTTAAAAAATTTGCATTTTTTTCAGCAGTTTATATTTTTTTTTTACGAAGGAACGAAGTGGTGCACAAATTTATTGATTAAGCTTGCACCATTGCTAATTTATGGCTCATCAGCGTGTTCAGGGCCCATGATTATGCTCTAAGCAGTTATCGATTAATGTTAAATAAATAAATGTTAAGTTAAGAGATACTAAAAAAATTGAAGAACTCGAGCTTTTCATTGCTATATAGTTAAATTATTTCTTTTCAATTTATTTTATTGATCAGTGAGCCAATATCAAAATTTTTTCAATTTTTATTTTATAGCAGCATGGCTTTTACTTATTAAAAATGAAAAAATAAAATTTTTGACAAAGAGATTTTCTAAACAGAAAAAACTGGATGAATGGTTTGTTTTTTGAATTCATAATTTTTTATGAAATCTAATACAATCATTTTATTTTGTTAATGCGGCAAAAGTTTGGAAGAGATGTTTTTTTACATAAAAAATTCAATATTTATATTTATTTTAAAAAATCAAACTTAAAATATTTATTATAATATTCTTATAATAATGAATTTTAAAATAAATTTAAAATTTTACGAAATTACTAAATTAGAAAATTTATCATAGAAGTTTAAATAGTTTGAACATTTTATGCGGTAAAATGCGGTAAAAATTTGATTTTTTTTAGGTAAATTTCTGTTTGTGGTAACTAATAATTTCTGATGGTTGTATTAATTAGTTAATGCGTACTGAAGACTGGTATACATGGTATACTGCTTATATTTTTTCGTTGCTCTGATGCTCGAATATTTCTTATAGTTCTTTGTAGAGTTTTTATTGCACTTTGATGCATTGTCATGTTTATTATTCATGCTTCTATGCTCAACACCATTATAAAACAGTCGAATTGTCTTTTCTTGCATGGTTATATTAAATTGCAATAGTTTTTAAGGTTTTTACGTGCTTTTTTATTTAACTATTTTTTCTTTTGGGTGTTTACGCAGTAGATTTTTTTTTCGAAATTATTCGAGAAATGAATTTCGTTTAATATTTTCGTAATTTCGAATTTTTAAAATTCTCCTAAAATAAAAGTGATTTTAAGGAAACAAGTTTTGGGAAAAATGCATTGCGTTAGGAAGAACACGTGTAGAGAATTGATCTCATAATTATTTTATTAGGTATTAAGAGTGTTTCTAATGTAATATACCAATGTGCACTTGCAAATGACTTATTTTTTTTGAGGCATTTTAAGTCGTTAAGAAAATGAATGGCTTATGAAAAGATTTTTTTTAATGTGAATTTAGTTGTGTAACGAATCGATTTCAGCTATTCGAACAAGAATTTATATAGAAATTTTGGCCAAGTCGAGATTTTCTGTTTTTTAAATGAATATATAAATCATCGTAGAGTTTTTTTCATACGTTATTACCTTGGAGCCTAATAGTTGAATCGTCCTATTTGGGCAAAGGATGGAGACATATGTCCTTTGGATTAAATCGGTCAAGAGAAAAGGGTGTCTTTCAATAGTTGCTCGTATTAAAGCGAATATTACTTAGTTCTGGGAAAAATTCCAGGAAATAAATTTTTCCTTTTAATTTTTAGTTTTTCTTTGTGTTTTGGTTAGTTCGTTATGTAGTGCGATCGATGTGATAATTGAATAAATAGCGGTTCATTGTAATAATTTTTTAATAAGTTTAATAATTAAAGTTACAGGATTCTTTTAAATTGGATTTGAAGCCATTTTTGTTGTATGTATTTAGCTATTACCATTCATTCATATTCTGGCCTCTTATGCTGATTAGTGGCTATAATTGGCTGGGAGACGTTGAACTATCGTCTTTAAGAATTTAATTTTGAATGAATCAATCTTCAAAAAAGCATGTTTGTTTCATTCATTCATATTTTAATTTTTATTTCATTAAAATTATGGATTTACTTAAATTAACGAAATATTCGTTTAATTTATTGAAAGCTTATTAAATATGAATTTTCTTATTTTTCGGGGATCGAATCATGTTAATTATTAAAATTTATTTTTTATCTTCTTGGTTCTTTTTTTAAATATATTTTGAATAATTATCAGTTTTGTTTAAATTTCGAAATGTATTTAATGTATTTCAGCGCGTTTCTGAACCGGTGAATACAATAAAACATGAGAATAATTCAATGGAAGCATCGGTACCATCATTCGTGATGAATTTTGGAAGTGGTGTTTGCGCTCCTGAACCTTTTCCTTGTTCATCATTCTTTAATGTTTCGGTGAGTTAACGGTGATTTCAAGAAATTAATGAAATATTGATCATTTGCAAAGATAATTTTCATTCTATAATTTTTTTTTTTAATAGTTCTCTCCATTACTGATTAAACTGGATTTGCTGACTAATAAGGTAAACCTCTCCAAGCTGTGCGGTCAGACTTTTTTCCATTGCCTAAGTCCATATATTGCTGACCCACCTATACTTTCAAAATCTTTCCGGAATGTGTCAGTCAAGGTCTTGATTGGTTATCCTCGCTTTTGACGCCATCCATCACAAGGTTTAGCAGGTAACGAAATATGTCACTTTTGTAGTGGACTATGAAGAACGTGCCCTAATTAACGAAGGCGACGCTCTGTGATGGTACTATTAATGCAGGTGGGATTTAAGCGAAGATGGATGTTTATTTGAGATCAGCTCGACGAACCCGTAAAAAATATTTTTAAACATGGGTGGTCGGAGGAAGATAACTTCTTAATATTCTCCACTTCATCGGCTATGTATCGCAGCCATATAACAAGACCAAATGAATTCCAGCGATATAGATTTCTTAGTTTCATTATTTAATTTTTTTGTGTAATTCATTTTAAATTATTCAGTTATAGAGCTCTTATTTTCAGTTAGATGATGCAAACAACAATAATATATCTAATAACAGAGCAGCTTTTCAAACATCTGTCGAAGTTCTATCAAGGTAAAATTTTGAAGAATTTTGGTACATTGGAATTCACTTGGAAAATATGGATATGTGGCAATTAGCTGTCATCTCGTAAATGGTTTCAACTGATCTTTAAGGAATATTATTTTGTAAACTTGTTTAATTTTCTTTTAAGCAGTGGGAATTATTTCGCTATGAATTCAGCGAAGATAAACCCATCAGATCATGATGCTTCAACTTCTTTAAATGCAGCACAATTTTCCGAAAGGCCACCAAAGCGTAGAGTATGAATTTTTTTGAATTTTTAAGCCACTTTTTATTTTGATTGATTAATTTTTAATTAATCCATCAATTTATGTTGCATTTGTTAAATTAACGTAAAGTTTGCAACATTTTTTTAATAGGTTCATTATAGATTTAAATCCCTTTTTTTTGTATGGTTATTGCCTCTTGATTTCCAGTTATTCGCTTTATAAATCTGTAGATAATAGTATGTAAAATATAAAAGATTTTTAGCAGCGAAAGCGTTATGCCGATTCACAAGCGGAGTTGGAAACAATGATTTGGAGCGAGACTGATTTTCATCGATCAGCAATTGTCTCAGGTCCATTAGCTTCTACTTGTGCTTCAGATTTGTTTCAAAATTTTTCTGCTTTGCCTGTAAGGAGCACTGCTTCAGGTATTTGTATCTTCGATATGTTCATATCTATTGTTGTTTTCAAAATTTTTTTAAAATTATTCTATCATTCGTTGATTCAAAGAAAATATTCCTCTGTACTGAGCGCAAATCTCTTTTGAGTGCCTCTTTTTGAAGTATTTAGATTTCTTAATTTTTTTTTTAAATTATCTAATTCATTTTCAGACGAAACAAAAAACCAGACACGTGGCAAACCACGCAAAAGAATGGTCGCAGATACTTCGCATTGCTATAATCAAAATTCACAAGGTTCTTTTTCATTTCTAATTATTTAAATTCTTTATATATGATCCAAAATTTTTCTTTTCGTTTTAATGTAGACTTTTTGCAGTGTAGATTTTCTGTTGATTATTTTAATCTTAAATCCATAGTTTTATTCCATAATTCCTTCGACTATTTATTCTAAATTATTTAAATTCACATTTAGTTGAAACTTCTTCAAATAAACCTGCAACGCCTCAGCCGTCTTTATCGCGCGCTGAAAATTCTCTTCTCGTGCTTACACAAAAATTCGTTGATTTGGCAGCATCTTCTGGGGTCATATATTTTTCATATATTTATGCAAATTTATTATTATTAGAAAGTTTCCGTATTTGGTAATTTTACGAGTTCCTCTACTAATTGATTTAAAAAATTTAATATTCCTTAAATGAATTTAAGGGTAGAATCGATTTAAACGCGGCTGCAGATACTCTTGAAGTAAAAAAACGCAGATTATACGATATCACGAACGTGCTCGAAGGTATTAATCTCGTCAGAAAAGTGGAAAAGAATAGTGTTGTTTTTACGTATGTTCTTTTCTAAATATAAGAATTTAAATATTTTTCAATAACTTTAACAGTTTAAAGGCAGCTTTTTTAAATTTTATCTTAAAGAAGCGTATAATAATTTGATTTTAGTTTTTGCAGTGACATTTATGGTAAAAACAAAGCAGATGCTGAAATTCAATTTTTGAGAGAAGAAGCACAGAAAATGAAGGAAGCCGAGAAGCTCTTAGATTTTTTAATTAAGGAAACCAGTAATAGTTTGGCATTAGCCAAACAAGACCCTACGGCTACTGGCTATGGGTCAGTTTCTGATTATTCTAATTTTATGTTTTCATTAATGATGACATTTTTTTGTAGTTATCTCACTTACAACCAACTGAATGCTGTGGAAAAATTCTATGGAAAGACACTTATTGCGTTACAGGCTAAACCAGGCAGTTTTACTAATATAGAAGTTCAGTCTGATGATCCAAAGGTATTTATTTATAGCACAGTTTTGCTTACTTGGGAGCATAATTTGATCATCCCTCTATTTATTTAGATGTGTATATTTCATTTTATTCTTGCAATTCTGAAACATTTTGACATTTTGATATCATTTATATTCCTGGTATATTTTCAATGTGTTTTCAATTAATTTTTTTTAAACAGAAGGTCCATGTCTCAAGTAGTGATGGTAGTGAAATCCGTGCTTTTTTGGGCCCTACGAGTAACGGCGAATGCAAAGGAGAATTTAATGGAAATGAAGAGGTGCAAAGAATTCCAATTTCAAAACGTTTTATTTCGATCGTGAATATGATTCCAGCCATTAATTTTATTTACAGGGCACTGAGCATAAAAATATTAGCATTTCTTATGTTGAGAATTCAATGCGAATGGATTTTATGAAATCAGAAATTTCTCAGTTCTCCTTCAGTGAAAAATGTGACCAAGCCTTGATTGATCAGAATCATTTTCAAGGATTAAATACACATTCAGATGAAAGTTGCCATTATAATTCTCAGAATTATAGTGGTACAGTTCCTCAGCAGAATATCTCATTTGAGTCTTCAGCGTCTTCATCTCAAGGTAATTTATTGTATCTCTCCTGATTTTCGTCATGTTCTTCTTATACTTTTAGCATCACCGCTTTTAATTGTTCTTCCAGAAGTATGAAAAAATCTTGATATATATATTATACTTGATCCTTCATTTATTTATGTGAAAATTTATAGTGATTTAAAGCCCCCTCCCAGTGGAAATGAGTGGGAAGAATTTTAAAGAATGAGAGTGAGGGAAATAAGGTAATGATACTTACATGTGCTTAAGCATATAGAAAGATTCTTCCAAATATGAAAATATTATAATCATCCAAAAAGTTTCTTTGGATATTTTGGTCGATTATAAATCCGCCAAATTTTTTGACTTTTTTTATTAAAGTAATTATATTGAATACACCTTTGCTCAATTGATATGAGTGGAATTATTTAATTTGCATAAAAATGGGTGATGATGGGGATTAACCTCTGAAAACGTTTTCGAAGTTCCTTGTTTTCGAAGTTCTTCTTATACTTTTAAAAATGATTGAATGAAATGTTGGAAATTGTCTGAAAAAATGAAGGTTTCATCTGGAGAATATGGTGAGCATGAGATAATTTCAATGTTTGTCTCGGCGATTTTTTTCAAAGGATTTTTTTGGACTAATGGTGGTGTCGTATTTGTTTCTGACTATTTCTAATCCTTTATTATGTAAGACTCCACTAAGTTTTCTATAATCACTAGGTTTAGAAAGCTATATGGGATCAGTCCAACAGTAAATCACTATGGAATGACCATGGCCTTTTCGAACTTTAGCATGGATTGAGCCAATTTTGTATTTTTCTTTTCATGTTTTTTTCTGGAAAATCCTCATTTCGCTACAAATAAAAGTCAACAAAAAGATCGTTTTTTGTTTGGCAGCGAGCAACATCGTTCCAAATATTTTTTTTTAAGAGCCTCCACGCTAATCTGATGGTCATGCAGTTCAGTCGCCATATTGAGCGCAGATGATTCCACATGACACCACATAGACCTTTCATAATTTTGTTGTTACCCCATTTCCTTTAGTGATTTATTTATGGAACTTAAGAGTCTCATGCAGCAGAAGGCATTTCTGAGGTTTATTTCTGGGCTGAAAAACAGATCATATTGTTCTTTTTTTGGGAATAATTCTTTGCATGCAAGCAATCAGTCCAGTCCAGTTTCTCACCGAATTCATCGAAATTCGCGTCGTTTTTTGTCAAATTCGAATAAATTCACTTAGAAAACTCCAAAATGAAATTGTTCTTACACTTTTATATTTTTTTTAAAACTGTTCTTTCTGTAGGTTTAAAAACTGTGGAACTGTAAAGGATTGAACAGGCATATAAGACAATTCATTATTGTTATTAAATATTATTATGAATAATAATAATAATATATATATATATATGGCTCCAAAGTCAGACCACTAAATCTTTTAGAATTTTTTGGTCGAATAATATTAAAAAATTGGAAAAATCGGCCTATTATGATATCGGTATCAGTGCTTGCTCGATGCAGCCTTTTAATTGCTGATTCCTTATTTACGTTCATGCTCCTTTTACATTCCATTTATACTTGTTCTCTGCTTCCCTGTCTTACTCATCTCGACTTTGATAAATAAGTAATGCAGTAAACCATATACTTATAGTAAACCATATACTTATCACAGTATCTCACCACATCTTTATCCTTATAACTTCTCTCCAAAAATAAGTAGAAATTATCAAAATTAAATGAGATGTGGAATAATGTTTTTTAGAAAAAATAGATTTACAGAACTGCAGACAATTTAAAGATAGCGATTTGATGAGGTTTTAGAAGTTTTTAATAACAGGATCGAAAGTATGGATATTGTAATTTTATTTAATATTAAGGGGGTCTGTCAATATTTGAGAGAGATCTGAAGCACTTAAGTGAAGTTTTTGGTGTAAAAAAGTATTAAAGGTTTATGGTAGAAGAATACTGAAAAATTTGGAAAAAATGCTTATGTTTGAAACGTTTTTAAAGCATATAGCAGTTTTTAAAGGTATGATGAAAAAAAAAGATTCGCCACGGATTTGATTAGAAGTATGACAGAGTGTTTAAGCGAGTAAGGTCAGGACCACGTTTGGAATTTAAGGGTAGTTGATCGGTGTAAGGTAATATGAGAGCTAATAATAGGTCCATCTGCATTTGCAGATAGAGGGTTCAATGAGGGGACAGTTATTGCTCTATCTTCCGCACCTATATAGATTTATATAAATTTATATAAATTATATAAGTTATAAATATAAATTTATATAAATTATATAAATTATATAAATTTATATAAATTATATAAGTTATAAGTTAAATTAAATTTTTCTCCTTTTTCAAAATCTCTAAATTTCAGGATGTGGTATAAATCGCTTGTTTATGTCTTTGGATTCTCCCTTGGGATTTCCGAATCATTCCTTCAGTTCTCCGTTGTCAGTGGTCACTAACAATCTTTCGTTCACTCCATGTATGGTTTTTTTTATTGGTTTCGATTTTCAGCTCATGAAGCTTTTAAATTTTCGGTTATTCGGCCTAAGATTTTGAAATACTGGAGAATTTCTTCTATTTTTAATTATAATTATAATAATAATTTGCATATATTTAAATTAAATAATTTAAATAATTTGCATATATTTAAATTTACATATATTTAAATTTTGTTTGGTTATTTTGCAAAACTTTAGTAATTTCTTCCCTGAAGCAAATTGTTTTGATTTTTAAATTTTTCAGTTCCGAATGATGTGCTTGAAGGAAATTCAGGTATGTTGGAACTGGAACCTACGGGTGAAGGTGAGCCATATGCATATGGTATGACCTCAAATGAGGGCCTTTCAGACTTATATTCGACAACGGATTGGTCTTAAGATCTTAATTAAACAGTTTGATCTCTTTTTTTCTTGAAAAATCCATTTCCACAGGGATTTCATTTTTCAATTTTATCTTATTACTTGTTTCCTTAAATGTTGGGTTGTTATATTTTAACTGTTATTGAAATGTATTGATTGATTTAAATAATGATGGATGAAATGTGTGGGATTCCGATAAAATTTTTTTATTTTAAATTATTTTATTAATTTCTAATTTAGTCGTTTTATTTTTTCTCCATCAAATTTTTTTGTTTTATTTTTTCTTTTTTTCTCAAAATTCATTTTCATTATTTTTCATTATGCATGTTTTATCTCTTTAATAAATTGGCATTTCCCACCATCGAACGATCCAAATCTGTTTTAAGGCCTCTTTTTTTAGATAGGTTTTAATTGGAAAGATTATTTTCTTTCTCTTCTTTCTTCTTTTCCTTGGAATAATAGAGGTATATAAGTCTTTATTTTTTTTTTTTGTTTTGAGAAGTAGAATATGCGGAATGTTCATCTATAGATTAATCTGCAATGTTGAAATGGCCTTTATATATAGTGCCCCAATGAATCTGTTTCTCACTTGGTTCGCTCAATTCAATGATGTGCTGATTGGAATGAAATTGTACGACGATTTCGTCCACTGTTCAATTATGAAATATTTTATTATATGCTTTTTCGTGAATGTTAGAGCAATGCTTTTAATTTTACTTTTTTTTTTTTTTTTTAAATTAAAATTCAGGAGATCATCACTATCATTTTTTTTAATGGAAGAGAACTGTTCAGTTTTATTTATAATTTTTGCTCATTTTGAAATGAAGCTATTTATTTGTGATTAGCCATGGTACTTTGTAAATATTATGGATATAGTTGGTAACGATTTAAATTTTTTATATATGAATATAAACTGCATTTATCGTTTTTTTGGTGGATTTGTTTATTCACTACATTATTTTTTAAGAAATATTGTTTTTTTCTGTAGTTCTTTAATTTTTGCTTAAAAATTTTAAATTTAACGATTTATGCTTATTATCATTTTTATCATCATTGTTATGTTAAAATCATGGCTATTCTCCATGAATTGAACGGTTGTAATATTATTTATTTATGCTTCAGTGAGTCGTTAATTATTTGTGAGTTTGATTTTTATGTTTTAATGAAATTTATGATTTTTGGTTATTTTTTTCGCAAGCTAATTTTAATATATAATCAACAGACCGGGATATACCAATTAAGTAAGTATGACGGGTACGAATTATATGTGGATTTAGTTGTAGTGCTCAAAGCATTAGTATTATTTCAACCATCATGATTTTCGGCACCTGCATTTAGCAGCAATAAGCCTGTTAAAAAAGAATCCTAAGAATTCAACTGGTGCTGTGGACTTGTCTGGAAGGTAATTAATGAATATGAATAGAAAAAAAGTCTCTGTGAGTTTTATGGATACCGAGAAATTTTAACTACGAAGTGAGAAATGGCTATTGAGTTGGTGTATTTTGCTAAGTAGAAAGTGGGGCGGTAGGTCTAAATCCTCTAAAACGCACGGTGTTATACAAGTGGAGTCGTGGATTCACGTGGAGTGGTGAGTTATGTGACAAGTGACGTCCCTCAGGTGGTTCCGGTGAACATATCTAGTAAACGCTTTTAATCAGCAGAGTAAACAAGTCACAATTTGTCGTCATGCTTGAATTGAGATTTGGTGATTCAACGAAAAAAAATTAAGTTATTTTGATTCATTTTTGATAAGCAATTAATCATGAAATCAACATTTGATTGTCCGTAGTGAGTTGATGGTTCCACTTTGGCATTTTGTTAATTAAAGAAATCAGTCAAGGACGAGTTTGAGAGTTTTTATATGAACGGTTCGAAACATATTTATATCCGAAAATTCTTAGTATATTTAGATTCTTTCACCTGAAATCACCTCGCTGTATATAATTCACCGACATATGCAAGCGATTTATTTATCATTGGTATTGGTATTGGAATAATAGGTGTTTTTAGGGAATTATGCGGTACTTTTCTTTTGCAGTTTTTTTATAGGAGGCCCTGCTGGCTTATTGTTCCGGATGAATTTCGCCATGGAAAGATTGACAAGTATAGATATCGTTCAGCACAACCGGTATCAGCTGTTTAATGCATGCATTACTTTCTGGGCTTCACAAGAGCTATATTCAGATTTTTATTCCATTTTTGATAATTTCACCATTTACTTGTGGCTGTTTGTTTCAAGCAGGTGATATGCTTCATTCCAGATCAAGCCTAACCAGTGATGGTGAGAGTTGTTAGAAGAAGAAGCAGCATGGATTGATTCCTTCCTCTTGCCATGCGTAAATATACTATTAAAAATGCAACTGAAGAGGTACTTGGTTAACCAATAATTTTAACTTTGGTACTGAGACAAAAAGCGCAGATGTAACTGTGTAGGTGAAGGATATAATTGTATATTTATAATTGTATATTATAAAGCAATAAAAGGATCAAGCATCGGAGTCCTCGGTAGTATAGTGGTGAGTATCCGCGCCTGTCACGTGCGAGACCCGGGTTCAATTCCCGGCCGGGGAGTGAGTTTTTAGATCGCTGAACTTCGAGTGAAGTTTTTTCTTAAGTTCAAGTCTTTATTCGATTTATTAGTGCGTAATTTCCTTTATCATATTACATGTATAAGTTGATATGATATGATAAAGTCAAATAGCGGATAGTGTTTGCAAGAAAAAAAAGAACTATGTAGAAGAGGTTTAATGAATTGTATTTAATGTCATGAAATTAACGATATATTTAGGCCACTGGAAAGGTTGGAGAAATAAATATATCAGGATATTTTGCCATTTTTAAAATTTTTTACTCATCCTTTAGATGGTATGGGCCAACCTCAAATCCTTTACTAAAGGCTTGGAAGGTTCGGCGCAGTGTATTGGATGCTCTTAGCAGTACGCTCTTCTGGACGAAGATCTCTGATGTTATTCCTGGAACCTGTTGGAGTAACTTATTAACATTTGTCAACATTGGCAAAGTTATCTTAAAAAAAGGTCAAGTGCTTGTCTCGCTGAATTATCATTTATTGCTATATTTATTGCTATTTAGCTTGAGGGTTTCAGCCCCTAGTTTTATCACTACCACTGGGATATTTCAGATTCCATATCTTTTTCCCGTTTGCGCCTCTGGTATTTCTCTAGTTTCCTATTTCTTCTTCCTAATACTTATATTATTACTCCTGTTATGCCACTTATTATTGCTATATCTACCCTACCCTATCAGTGAGTTCAACTATTATTTGTTTGACTAGTACTTATTGATCATTCTGGACTAGGAAGTCCTACAAGATCTTGGCCTTTTGCAGTTCCATCTGATCTTTGAAGGGCTTAGCTCTGAGTATACTGAACAGAATTCCTGTGGGCAATGCCAGCTATTTGATTATGTCGTTCAATATGTGATGCTCCTAACTTTGTCTAACTTTTTTGCCACTATGGGTTGAAGAATCCTGGAAGGTTATATGTCTGCGTCTTGACTCCTGTCTGATATTCCTTCGAATTTGAGGCTTATTCGTTCTTGTACTGCTTGATCAATGTGCACTTCTTTTTTCTGAGAGCATTTCTGGTTCGCTTCTTTTGTTTCTTGAACCAGACAGAAATTTTGTCGGAGAGTCACTTGGCGATAGAAAGAAGCACGGTCAAGGCACCGGCATCACCTAGATTTTTTAACGAGGAGTCAGGATTGGAATCCCAGCATCAGCGCTCCTAAATGAGAGCAACAAGGCATTAAGCCAGTAGTCTATTACCTTGACGCTAATCCAACTGGATTTGATTATTTTCATTTATATGCTTTTAGCGATAATCTAATGGTAATGTTATCAGCAATAACCGGTTGAATTTATAGATGATTATCTGGTGACCTATGAATCATTCATTCACAAACCACATTTTCGCTATACAAACCCTCCTCTTTACTCACTCGTTTGTAGTAGTTTGTTTGCCATAAAATGGACTATAGTTGAAACGATTTGAAGTCAATAAACGACGGGGTTTGGAGATGAAACTTAGAAAAATGCGCAGACTCTCCGCTTAAATCACTGAACTACTGCATTCAGCTGTTCGCCGCTCCTCAACCCCACTAAAAATACATATTTCTCATAATTCGAATTTTTCTCATTTTTTTTCGATTTATTTTTCAAGGTATGAAACAGTACCATTCCATTCATTCATTGCGTTTCATTCTTCTTTTTTAAACTTTTTTGGCTTTGATTGGCACCAACTGCTAGGATGAAGCGTTTCGAAGAACCCTCTCGATCGATTTGGCCCGCAAACAATTTCCGATCATTTCGTCATTAGATGCACATGGACATCGATGTGCCATCCATGCATTTTACGCTTCGCATGCGAATTTTTTTTAATCTTCTTAAATTTCCTCTTGCACGAGAAAAATAGCTTTTTTTCGTCTCGAAATTTTTCGTTATAAATTTTGCTTTCAATTGAAAATTTTTTCATTTTTGGCCAATAATTTGGCCAATTTGTCCGATCATTTTGTTGACGTTTGGCCAATAAACGATATTCTATTCTCGAAATTCATTGTTTGTTGACGGGAAAAACTCTGACAATATTGAAAGAACATTTAGTTTACGTTTCTCAAACTGGATTTTTATGTAATATTGCGCAATTTTTCCTTTAAATATTTCGTTGCAAATATTCTTCAACTGTAATTTTGTGCACTTTTTTTTCCTTAGTAATCACCTGGATTTCATTTTTAACGGCACATTTCCCACCCCCCCCGCCCCTCCACCGTTTATTCAACTAATTTGCAATGAATTAAGGGAAACAAACGGAATTCGACTTTACCCGAAACAAACGATAACAAATTTTTATGAAAAGAGAATTTTAAATTAATTTTCCAATAATTTTTAATTTTTGTAATAACAAATTCTTATAATTTTTTAAATTCTTTTCATAAAATTTTTTTCCTTTTACACATGAAAACCTTGAAAATTATTTCTCTTAAACTTATTTTTTTATTTATTTTGTTTATTTTATTAATTTATTATTTATTAATATTATTATTACTTAATATTATTTAACTTATTTCCTACGTTTTTTATGGATTTATTTTTTGATTTTTTTCCTTGCCACCTCCATCTTCCCAAATCGGTTACTCGTCTTACTTCGCTAATCGGAAATCTCTAACGAGCGTTGTTTTCTTTTTTATTATACTGCCCATTTATTGGAAAAGTCTTCATTTTCCGAATTTGCTTATTTTGCTTATTCGTTTTTTTCCACTATTTTTTTCTATATTTTTTAAATTTATCAACAGTCATTTCTTTTCATTTCTTTTCCTTGGTGCGAGTGCTAGAAGCCGAGAGATTGCTGGTAGTTCACCTATATGTTTTCCCCCGCCAAATGACCCCCCTGAGTGAAAACCTCATCCCATTAGTCCCGTTGGTAGTCGAACCGGACCTTAAACCATTTAAACTGTAACCTGTTTTCCCTATTTTGCAGAAATCTTTCCCACAAACTTTTCATTTGTAGTTTATAGTTTGATTTTTATATTTGTCTTACGTATTTCGCTAAAACATTTTCTTTCTTGTAAGCAATTCGTATGGATTTATCTACATCGTCTTTTAGAGTTATCGGTACAATTGTCTCAAGTCATCGGGGCGGAGTCTCCGCGGGGGCGTTCCTTCATTTATTCAACTTTGTTTTCATATAAAACTTGCTTTGTTTATAATACGATTATTCAAAAATTTATTGTTTTAGATGAGATGTTTTCTATTTTCCATCAAAATTTCCATTATTTAACCTTTTTTCTGTTATTTTTATATACTTATGGTCGAAACATTGGTGAGTTTTTCCGCCTTTTTCTCTAAAAGTTTTAGAACTAAATATCTTCCATAATTATAATTTTCCATGTTAATAATGGTCATCAATCCTCAAAATTTCATTAAATTGCTACCAATTTTTTAAAAATCAAACCAGTCGATCGTTAATGGACAAGTTAATCAACTTACCAATTATGTTTATGATGGAGATCCACGGATATTTTATTTTGAAAAGTTATACTCATTTATCAAAAAATTGCAATATCGTAAAAATTTTTTTAGAAAGGCGATATTTGACATGTCGCAGCTGTACGGGGTCAAATGCAAAATGTTCCGACTTATGTCAAGGTCTTTACTGCTATAAAGCAGAATTTCTTTCTCAAGGTTGCTTTTTTTTAATATTCCGCCTTATTTCATTTATATAATCCTCTCTTATCGAAGAGTATTGTTTTAAGCTCGGTACTAAATGATTCTTGAAACTTGAAAGCTGCTGCTGAAAATCCACTTAGGCTTCTATTCTTAGAAACATTTCGCCCTGGTAGTCACTGGAACCAACCAAACCAGAAGTGGTAAGGGCACTTTGGAGAAGACACACTTTCCACACGAAACGTAATAAACTTGCATATTATTATCTGATCAACATTCCTAAACAGTGCCATTCACCATCTTTCCACATAAATGGCCATCTAAAGGGTTTGAGAGGTGAACTAACTCCCTCCATTTTTTTTTGTTGATACTACTGATATTCAAGACCGAAACATTCGAGACATTTATCTATGTCAGAAAGGTAAATAAGATTAAAAATGATCAATAACCATCAAATCTACAGGTATTTCAACAGTAAATAGTGGTTGTTTAAATAAAACGGATAAAGGTGTACCGATCGATGCTTGCGACGAAGTGAAATCATCATTACCTGGTTCAAGTACTGAATTCATTGAGCGCATATGTACGTGTTCTCGAGATTTTTGTAATTTTTCCAGCCACAAATCTTTTTCATCAGTTCTGCTCTTATTCATTTCATTCAATTTGTTTTTATAGCAGTTTTAAGTTTTTTACCTTCGTGATTGATTAAATTATTTATTAAAAATTCCATCGTTTTAAATTGGCTATAATAAATAAAACAGGCCATAAATAAAATAAATTGGCTATAAAATTGGCAATAAATACCGAGTGGTGCAATATATGCAGCTTATAAAAAAATGCAGTTAAATGCAGTTAAAACGTATTTATTTCATTTACTCTTCACCTTATCGTAATCTTAGCCAGTACACAGATTTTCATTCGAAAAATTCCATCAAAAAAATAAAAATTAATTTTTTATGCACCAATGATACATGACCCATGAAACCTATACATCACCTCATATTTTGGCTGATATTTTGTATCGTTCTCAATACTTATGCTTATTATTTTATATTTTATAGCTATACTTTTTAAATTTAAATAGAAAAGCAATATAATATTGCATCAGATAAAAAGTATTATTACAGTATTGTTTACTACCTTTCGACAAATCAGTTAAGAGAATTTTTATAAATACAAATAAATTATAAAAAAATATATTGAACAAGACTAGATAAGACTAAAGGTACCAAATGTATTAAAAAGGCTGAGAGCAAAAACTATCCTTCATCCTTCGATTCGCTGTAGGCTTATTTAATTATAAGAATCTGCAAATACAATTTTTTGAAAATTTTGAATAAAAAGTTATGAATGAAAGTTAAGAATATTCCAGTTACCTAGCGCTATTTAAATACTACAGCATTATTTGAACCAGTGGAAATCATGAATTGATAATATTAAAATATTCATGCGCCGAAATTCACAAAAAAATAAGAAAATAATTTTTATAAGTATGAATGAATGTGTAATTATTTCAAATTTAAATTTTAAAAAAAAAATTTTTGAAGCCAACCTTTATATAATATCGTTTTAATCGATTTCCTTATATAAAAAGCATCTAAAACCGAATTTTTTCACCATTTGGATCCAGTTGAACAGGAGATTTTGGCATTGCCTTTCTGCTCTACCTCTGAGCTATCACATTTTTGCTCTGTCGAAATTTCTTCGTCAAAATGCTCTTGATTTATGCTTTCATTTGTTTCTTGCTTTATTGTTTCATCTAACACTAAAATTTTTTTAAATAAATATGCCTTTTTTTCTCATTTAATGATTGGATATAATATTGGATGTTTAGGTTTTTTCTACTATTTTATCTACTTTTCCTTTTTCATAAAAATTAAACATCTCACATTCATCAGCTCCTTTTTCTTTCGAATCTTCCATTTTAAATTTAATTCTTTTATGCTGTGGCTCAGCATTTTCTTCGACGTTCAATTTCGCTGAATTCGTTTCTTTAGGTGAATTCACACACATCGTCTCTAAATCGACTTTTTTATTCAATTCTGATTTTATAATTTTTCCACAGTTATCCTCCGTTGTTTCATGCTGCATTTTCGCTTTTGCTTCTGAATTCTGAATATTTTCAATTAAATAGAAATATAATGGTAATTTATAGCATAAATTAGGGCAATTTTATTCATTTTAAAAAGCACGAATTTTCATTTTCATATAATAAAACTTACCTCGGCAATAAGTATCCCAAATTTATTTTCTTTTGCAAGCAATTTGAGAAATTCGACGATGAAGGGTGTATAATTATATCTGCGCAAAACACTCTGCCTTTTCAACTGTTTTAGTTCTGCTTCTTCTAATTCAATAAGTTTGCGTAATTTAAGGATTTCTTGAGAATTTCTTTCCACTTTTCCACACTGAAGAAAAATTTATTTTATGCGATTAAATGAAATATTTATAGATTTAATAAATTAAATAAGATATCAAATATATAAATAAGTGAAAACTGAAACCTTGGTCAATTGAACAAGTTGTTCGTGATAATCAATAGTTTCTCCGCTAATCACCGCATATAATTCGAAACGAATCTCTAAATCGTTGAACCTAAATATCATTGCAATTTTTTCAAAAATTCTTGTTTTTCCGTTATATATTTCCGTTATATATTTTTATTTACTTCAGTCATTCACAAAAAAAGATAATCAACACAATTCCAAAAAAATACATTTTTAAGAGAAACTAACTTTGTTATGCACTCATCCAAAAGTGGAAAGATGTTCTGAAGCCAATCAATGCCTGAATTCATACAGTTTCCCAAGTCCGCAGCTTCTGAATTCATTCCGTCCAGTTCTATGATACGTCCACCAATAGGCATATATACGATAAAATGATTTTTAAAATCCTATAATAAAAAGTAAAAATAAATGACTAATAAAAGAGAAAAGAGATATGTAATAAATAGATTAAAAGTAAGAAAAAACCTTTTCAGGAGCCCTGATATCTGGTTCAGGTACATCTGGTACAGCAAAACTATTATGAATTTCAAGTATTGAATCCATGTTACCAAAAGCCAAACCACGAGACTAGAATGAGATAAATGTACAAACAATGTAAAATGCAATAATGAAATTTGAGGAAACCTGTGAACCAGTTGTATTCTGTTGAAAAATTTTTTCTTCTAGCAACTAGTTCCCATTTTCGGCTCAATTGATTATCAATCGACTAAGTCTTCGATAATAGCCACTTGAAAATAGAATTCCTCAATATCACACAGATTTCAATTATCTCTTATAAAATACAGAGCCTAGCCATGATACTTGAACCTATGGATAACATACCACTCGGCCATCGTGTTCTTAATGAAAATCGGAAAATCAGCTGGGAAAAATAAGTTCAATAAAAAGATTTACCATAGGATCAAAACAACTTGTTTTTTGTTTGAAATCTTCTAAAACTGGTCCGAGCGAAACACCTGAATTTGAAGGTATGTTCAGCAACAAATTTACCAACGCTTGTGAAACACAAGCGTTCTGTATGACCTGCAAGATCTCTCAGTAAACTCCAGATTAATATTATTTCCATCTCAGAAAAACATTCAGTAAACATCTCTTCCTAGAAACAAAACTGAATGCCTTTTTGCTAACATTAAAGTTGGACAAAAATCACAATTAAGCATAACAATAATGAAAGATAATAGTGACAATAACAATAATGAAATATAAAAAAAATATTTAAATAAGACTGCAGATTTGCCCAGGTTTTATTGATATTTTAATTAGAAATTACGCAACAGTAAAACTAATCATCTCACTTGTTGTCCGAAAATAATTTTTCTATTATAAACGAAATTTTTTCGTAGTGATAGTCCTGTAGGTCGCCACTTATACAAAAATATAAGGCCATAAACTGATCTGCAATATCAAGCATTTGTAAAATATATATCGATGCTCATAACTTCGAGATATGACCAGCGGGCATTTTCCTTTCGTAAATTATGTACTCTCGATAATATATAATGTATAAAATATATAAAAAAAAATGCATAATTTTACTCTCGAAAAGCACTAGAGAGTATGCAAAAAGAAGGAAAATTTGTTAATTTTCGTCATATTTTTTTTATCATCAATTTCCATTATTTTATTTTCGTTATAAGTACAAGCAAATGGCGTCTGCCCCCCTGTTTGGTTGGTTTTCAATAAATGAATGAAAATTAAGTGAATTAAATTTAAATTGTCAAATTTAAATAAAAACTAACTTAATATGTTCGAACTGTTGAAGGTCGAAATTGTAGAGTTCTTTTATTTTCGCATTTCTTACACCAAGTTTACGAATCAATTTTGTCAAAATAGATGGATCCGATTCAATCGGAAGCCATTCGTTTTGTGGCATTTCGCCGAATGGTGAAGTGAACGCTTCAAATTTCCTCCTTCAAATTTGTTAGTACCAATGAAATGTTCTGAAATAGAAAGATAAAGGCGATTTGTCTATTTCTTTTAAACAACGCTTCTAACAGCTCGTATCGGTCATTATTGGCCATGAGGCCATCTGACGATGACACCATTAGCCGAGGCAAGTTGGTAGCATTTCCAAGTCGTTCAATACGATCCCATATCTGAGCGCAACAGAAGCCATCCCATTTTCTAGTGTCTAAGAGGATACAGAGAGACGCACATATATATTCAAAGTCTCCTCTAGCTGCATTGTTTTGATTAGTTTCGCTAATTTTTGCCAGGAAGTTGGGGGACAGAAATATATTAGGCTGCCAGCACCATTAGGATATCAAATGATAGGCCGAGTTTCCTCGCCAATCGCCTACTATCGACGGAATTCAACAAAAAATACAGAGGTCAGTGATAGAAAGCATTCTTGTAAGGAACTAGAAGAGCGACCCACTCTACAAGCGACCAACTGAAAGGCCAAATATTCGGCAATATGTGGAAATGAGTACCAGTGACTCCAAATATTTCGCCAAATTAACCCAATTCCAAATCCGCAACTCGGATTTCGAATCATTGCCTATTGAAGCCGAGAGTTAGATATTTTAAAATATTGCAGCTCTCTATTTATGTCATGCTATAGTTGGTTAGGCTGGATCTCCTGCTGTCTACGCTTCGAAACTGCCAACCTGAAAGTCGAGGGAGGGAGTCCTTTTTCCAGCGTCTCTAAGCATACTTCCTCCATCTGAAAAATCTTCCGTTATGTGTCGTAGACTTTGCTGCGAATCTGTCAACGAAAGATTGAATGGCCTTTACAGGTCAAATGAAGGGCCTTTATAAGTTAGATAAATCTATAAATTAACCCTTAAAAATGACCTATCGATTTAGAACCCCTTTATAAAGACTGAGTATTGTGAGTATTTCACATCTCAAGTTAAACTCCTTCCTCAGCACTTTCCGTTTTATTATTATTAAATATTTTATATTATGTCATTTCTCTGAATAAACCTGTTTTTGGTCTGGGAAGTCTGCAACAGAAAAGCAATTCCGATCGGCACTCTGTTGCTATGCGGCTCGTTGGGCGGAACTTTTCTAACCATACTAAGAGCTAATTAAACTCGCCTAGCCAGGAATAGCTGGTACCAACCTTTTGTTTAGTAAGAATATACGGATATTTCAATATGAACGATTAAAGCTTTTAGAGAAAACTAAATTGTACGAAAAACAAAAAGAGCAAGAAATTTATGCATCACACTGGCTAAGCGTTTATAAGAAAGGATACACCATAGGGGACCTAAGACCTGTATGGTCAGGAAAGATTTTGAACATATAGGTGGACCAACAACATATGGACTTAGACGATGGAAAAAGAAATGTTCTATTAAGCTTGGAAATGTCCTTTCTCCTTGTAGTCAGTGGAGCCAGCCTAACCAATAATGGCTATTAAAAGAAAGAGAGGAGAATGTCGGACATCAGCTGTGGAGTCCTACTAAGAACTCGTCATTCCATGCGGCTTATCACGGACAGGAAGAATATGCCAGCTTTTTGCCCTTGGAACGGGCAGATTCGAGGAAAAAATCTCAAGAAGGCCCAGTGGCCCACTTGCGTTTGTATGCTGCTGCGGTCTGAAGACTTGTAAAAACTCTTTCGCAGTGTTTTTTTTATCAGATGTTCAATTATCTCTGATCTCCTTTATCAATTTGTTAATATCGACTTCTGGAGGCTCCAAGTTTCATTCATTTTTTTATTTTATTCAACTTTATGAAGGAGTTTTTTGGATTTTTTTAAAGACTTTATCTCAAATTTACGTAAAAAAACTTTTATTTATTGTTTAGCATTTTTTAAATTGAACTCAATTGGTTCAAATGGAGCCAGCGGACTTCTTAACTCTTTAAATTTTAGGCTTGCGCATATTTTATGCATAAATTTGGAATATTTAAGCATTTTGAGCTCAAATAAATCGTAAATATGCAATCAACTAATCCACTTAAACCAGTTGAGCTTATGCTAATTTTGGTGAAGAAATTTTTATTTTTCTTCTAATCACAAATTTGAATCATTCGTAAAAAAAATTACTAAAATAAGAAAAATAAATGGATTATTTCATGACGAATATTTTAAGAAATAGTTGGAATTATCTTAAAAAATGGCAAATCAGATGGGAAAAAGATGAAAATGTCGAGGCGAATTGTCATGCGAGCAATTGTCTGACATTTCAAATATTCAGATGTCCATATAGTTCTTTTTCTTCCTTTCTATAATATTGACTAAATTCAAGTATCGTATCGTTTGTTTTAGAAATTTTCAAATTCGTTCTGAAATAAATTCTTTATCACTGATTATCACTTCATTTTATCATTTATCATAAATATTCGTGCTATCACTCTGATCTCTTCAGATCTCTCACCCATTTTCTAAAAATCTTAGTTCTTAGACGTTCCATTCAATGAAATGAAACGAAATTATGATTAATATTTATAACTATGATAATTGATAAAATATTTCAAAAATTTTCTAAAATTTTCTTGTTTCGAATTCAAACACAGCTTGATATTTATATTCGTCATTACGAAATCGTGAAATTATTTCCTGTAATTGAAATGCCTACGATAGATTTATTCACATGCAGTAATTGATGTGCTTGACAAGAAGTAATTATGAACCAATTAATTTGCTAAAAAATTCAGTAATAATTCAGAAGTTGTAGCTAAAGAATAGTAGTAAAATAGTAAAAGTTATTAGTAATTTAAAAAAAGGATTATTTACATAAAATATACCTGGTTTTGATGTCAAGAGGAATAAAATTGCTATTTTCCTCGTTATTATTCAAATAAAAGTCATCGTTATCATTCCACCTTAAATAGGATCTTTCGCCAGGCGTGAGTAAATAACAAGTGAGATTTCGACTGTTATAGATGATAATCATTGAAAGAAATACCAAAAGTGATAAACTGCTGAGTAAAACGATTGAAGCAGGCGAAACATGCAAATAATCGAATCGATTATTACCGACAACTGAAAATCGAAATTTTATAACAATATGCACCCCGCAAGGATGTATAATTTCTCCCTTAGGCATAAAAAAGTTGGTCTTTTTTCCACTTGAATAAGAACTGTTAGGCAGAAGATTCAGCATGCGAAAGATGAACTCTGGCAAAAGGTTCCATAAAATCCATCGAAGCATCTACAGTGATTTGCTGTGGGAAATTTTTGCAAACATTCACCATAGTTAACGCATATAAAATCACTACACAATGCTGATTTACCTGAAAAAGTTTATTAAAATTTGTTGTTTCTAGAGATTTTTAAAATATTTAACAGACTCGTTTTTAAAAGTCGAATGGCTCAGTGGACTTTTGGTGTCGACACGAAACGCCGATATTGGAGTTCTCATCTAAACTAATAAGAGATTTTGGAAAAAAATATTAGAATTTTGTTTTCGTCTAAATAGCTTATAAATTAAGAATTCCAGTAATTCCTATGACAAAAAAAACTGTTATTTGATGAAAAAATGATAAGTGATGATTGGATATAATTAAATTAAGATGTGAAATTTTTAATATTTTATTATTTTATAACTTATCAATTCTACAAATTCCGAGAAATTTCCACCATTTTTGTAGCATATATTATTGTAGTATATATTTATATAGGTGATTATCCTGCAGAAGGAGATTGGATACACTCAGCCTAACTGTGGGAAAAGTTGCTTTAATAATCTTAGTAGTAGTAGTGCAAAACCAAAAATGATACGTGCTATCAGAAGAAGAAGAAGAATTTGGTTACCCATCATTTCCGATTGGATACATTGCGCAAATCCATCCTTAACAGTACACACCGCTCCATTTGAACATGATTGGTCATTACAGTAATCGGTTAACTGTAAATTGATAAATTTTAGAGGAAAAAAAAGTTTCCATGTTCCACTAAACAGAGATGATTGGCTAGTGGCTAAGAAAAAAGTTAGGTTTTTATCATTTTGTAGTTTATAAACCGCAGAATTGGCATTCTAAAATATGAATTCAAATTTGAGTTCATTTGTACCATTAAGAAAGAAAGGTTTAGAAGTCTTCTTTTCGATATTTTCTAGCAATTTAATATAAATAGTGTCCATCAAGTAAACTATAACTCACTAACTCACTAACGATTATATTATTGTTTGATTATCTGACAAATGCCTATCTATAATGGAATGTGAATTCTAGAACTTCAAAGAATTAAGCTGCTAGTACCAGCTGCTAGTACCAGTGATCCAAGTTGCACTGAATTTTTTTTCATGAGCAGATTTTGGGCATCCTCATAGGCGAGAAAAAAATTTCGAAAGTACCGTTTCCCTAGCTAATTGCAAGCAGTAATTTTACATGAAACCACAGGCATATATGAGGTATTCGAAAACAAGCAAAAAGCTCCTCTGCCTTCCATGCATATTTTGTCGCCTCTCTTTTAACAAATTGCGAAATTATCGTTTCCGAACCTTATATTCACAATGATTTCCAACGTAGTTTTGTCCACAAATGCATAGAAAAGGAATTTTTGAAGTGTTCAGCGGAACGCAAATCGCATTATTCCAGCAAGGATACGAATCGCATTCATTTCCCACTAAACTTTAATTAATTATTTACTTCAATATTTAGCCAAGCGGGGCATTTTAAAAGGTTATAAGGCCATTTCCAGCTGAAAATCTTCGGTTCGTTCGATCTTCTGTTTTATTAAATTATTTAATAAAATGTATCGAGAAATTAGTCAATTATGTAAATCATCAACGTTTTCTACAATTTTTTCCCATCGAGAGACAATTTCATGAATTCTTTTTCTTGTAGATATTTGCATTTTCTTAAATTAAAAAAGACAATTTTATAAATCGCCAAAAGAATGAAATTTTCTTTCCTCAGTATTGCAGCCATATACAAATAGAAATATATGATCAACAGTGATTTATTTAAAATCTCTGAT